GGAAGTCCAAGAACAAGAGTCTTATGTTGCAGCATTGTATCATAATTTATGTATCTCTTGTTCTCATGACTTTTATAAAAGTAACACTGCACCTGCTAAGAGAATTGTTCCCACTCTGCTTGGAGGAAACAGCAAAGCACTGCCTGAACAATTCACCCCAGAAGAATGTTATTGAACCATACACTTTAAAAGAACTATACATTTTAAAACACACCTGTGCTGGCCTTGGGAAACAGCTCATGAGAAACTGCAGTTTTGCTAGCAGCTGATGTGTTTTCTCCAAAGGCATGATTTAATAGGAATGCTGAGCTATTTGCACAAGGGCTGCTGCTTTACTTGGATTTGACCCTTTGGAAACTGAAGATTCATGGGCTTGTACCTACCTCTATGTAAATCAGGACTATCTCTTCTGAAGTCAACAGATGTAAAAATCTGGGTTAATAAAGGCGAAGCAAAGCCCGGGGCTGTCATCCCTGCCCTGTTGCTTTTATTCAGGTTAGGATTTCAAATATATAATTGCAGTATTTTTTTCTGTCATTTGGGAATGTGGAATGGGGCTGTAACGAAAGGAAAAATAGGTACAAACTTGCTTTGCAGAGCTGCAGCATAGTGCCAGGGCAGGTAGTGGTGGCAGGTTTCCAGCTGTCCTGTCGCTCTGAATGATCTCTCTCAGCACTGCTCCAGAACTCCCTCTTATTCTACCTCCCTTCCCTCTCAACAGGAATAATGACACTGTTTATCACACTCTAGTAGAAGACTTCATGCCTTCCTGATACATTGTCATGCTTCTAAACCAGAATTGCCTCAATGTTGATGGTATTCAAGCCTGTATTTCTCCTATATTGTCTTTGTGAAATACATGAGCCTCTCACCTTGAACTAGTTTCACCATTTGTGCTAGAGTTCCTTACTCAAAGCAAGATGATCCCACCTGGGAAAGTTATATACTTGGTCAATGGTTTAAACATCAGCTCACACATTGGAGGGGATTTTGCAAAGGTTATGGTTGCACCTGATGTGTTCAGCGACCTGCCAGAGGCACAGCACACAGTAGGGCTTGCTAAAATAAGCAACATGATGAAAGATTATATTACTTGTAGTCTATTAACATGGTCCGCACTTGAATCAGAAAACCAATTAAAAAAAAATAAGAAACAGAATATTCAACTCCAAGAGTGGAGTTAATGCAAAAGCCAACCTCAGAAGAAAACACTTGCACCTGTACTGTTCAATGTCATGAATGACAAATCATTCTATCCTGCCACAGAGATTTATGCACGCAAATGCACACAAATGCCTTAAGGCTCACAGTCAAAATCAGGAGTCTCATCCACACTGAAGCATTGTTAATGTCATTGTTCTTTAGTCTCTTCATTTTTTAATGGGAAAATCAAGCGCTAAATCAAACGTTAAAATGTAAAGAGAGTTTCTTTCACTCCAGAAAGCCCAATTAAAAACAAATAGCTCAGCATAATCTAGAACACCCACCATTAGCACTTGGGAGTGACCCGGGGTTTCCTCCATGTGGAGAAGACAAAAGTTAAGGCTGAAGTTCAGAACACTGTGCTAATTTCTAAATAGGCAAACAAATCAATAACACAGGAAAATACTGCATTCTACATTCCTATATCTTAATACACAATTCCACTACTGGCAAGATTGGTATGGGAGAAGACATTAAAGATGTCTTCTTAAAGAAAATTTCCAGTACATCACTACGTAAGCAACCTGTGCAAGTTTTTTGTTTATCACTGCCTTCCCATTTTTCATGGCAGAAAATGCAGCAACTTCAGCTCTCTCATTGCTCTGAAAGCAAATAATGGGAAACTACACTGGGCTGGAGACACTCTGCTAAATGATTTATGACACACAGCCCAATTCTGAATGATTTTTTTTCCCATTAGATGTGCATAACACACGGAAAATCTTATCTGGTTTCAGAGAGAAAAAATTCTCCCACCATTACCTCAAGCTAGACGAGACCTTTGACTACTCTGAGCCAATGCTACTGTCTTCTAAAGAGATTGTGCTATAGTTTCCTCTAACTCTGCTGAATCACAACTTGGGTTTTTAATACACCTTTGAAGCAATCATTATACTAAGGCTTAATCTACTACATTCATTGCTTGTGTGTCAGCATACTATTCCTCAAAAATCTGCCTTTGTCAAACATGGCATTATTCAATGCTACCTCATTCCTAGTCACAAAACTTTTAAAAATGAGGGAAAAAAACCTCATCTAAGACTGCATGCTACATTAAAGTACCATGTTTTATTTTTGCACAAGGATTTCCATTGCCCCAGATTTCAATTGATTATTATGGACCATGCAAAATGCCACAGACCACAGAAGCTACATTTTTGAATGGATGTTTTTATTGATTAATCAGGCATTGAATCAAATATTGTAAAATAAACAGGTTTTCTTTGTTAGAAAATGTTCAGAGGAATACCACTCATAGCAAACTTGTTTCCTCATAGTCACAGAATATGAAATTGTCCAAGAAACAAGCAAAAAAGGAATACCTGACTAATTACTGTCAGTCTGTGTGTGTATATATGTATGTATGCACATACACAAATTACACACTATATTTGTGCATATACTGGTGTGTGTATACCCATACACATGTATACATAGATACACAAGCATATACGCACAAGGAGTACTGACTGAATTAATAGTCCACTGGAGAAATGTGGCTTAGCTCCAAACGAAGTATTCTGTGTTAAAACAAAAATGATACAGCAAGGCCTGTAGATAACAGATTATTCTTTTTCCGTTTGCCAAAACCATGATCTGTCTATAGACTCACGGTCTATCTTTACAGTGAAAATATGTGAGATCATTGGGGATCTTTCCAAATTCATGGTATTACTTCCATCCAGCTCAATCTCTGCCAACATGGTATGGCCAAACACTGAGCAGTGTTTTCAGTTTGTCCACTACTGAAATCAGCTTCTAGATTTAATATTTCTGGTGAAAGAGAAGATACACAGCCTTACCACAGGTACTTTGGTAATATACCCTTTCATTTTAGGCAGAAACTTGGCAATAATCCCTCATTAAAACTCCTTTCCTCTTGCACATTTTTATCACTGCTTTGCATCAGTCATCTCCTGTAAATTCATTATAATAATTTTCATGCCATCCCAGCTACCTTCCAAACATCCCAGGCCAGATCATCTGGGTAATGTACATCATATTGATAACATTGTGCTCAATTATAAAATGTAATGTTTGGGAATTTATTTACTTTTCATTTTTGAGAGTATACATTTCTTTATTATTAAAGACTCTACGATAATCACTGCAGTTCACCACATGTACACATTTTCCCTTATTTATGTCAACTCTAGAAAGATCAGTGGCTCCTACCTGTGAACCATGGGATGCTGCCACAGCTGAAAGCTATGGTACCAGCAACGTTCTGTCAGACTTTTCTCCATTTAATTCAGCAGTTAGCTGGGCATGCAAAGGGAAATCAAAGGAACATGGATGGGCATTCACTTTCTATTAAAAAAAAAGGAAAAAATCCAATAGGCATGTATGTATTCCTCATCTTGCTCATAAGTTTTCAGTACAATCATAAGGTAAACTGTAGTACAGCTTGGTACCTGGAGAATCAGTATTTAAAAAATCTGAAGCTGAGCTTGGGACCATTTTACTTTGGGGCCATTAATGAACAAAGTGCATTAAAGTATCCTTTTAAAAAGACACCTAAAGCATGGTTATAAATTACTGGGCAAATCTTTTCTTAAAGCTGATATTCAATTTATCCTCTTCAACACAGGCAGAATTTCACCACTTGCATAGTAACATGAAAATACTGCAGGAAAATCATTCTTTTGAAATGTCATATGCCTTAAGCATCTCCGCAAATGATCTCTATACATAAGCATTGTAGTAATCACAGAGGGCTTCTATTCTGTAGAAGGAAAAGAGAAAAAAAAAATGCTCCTAATTCAGCACTGAGCTAAAGTAGGTACAACCTCTATTGCTTTCACTGAAGTTCATCTATCAACACCAGGACTTGCCCACACCGATTCCTACTGCTGCTGAAAAATTGTTATTTACTTGTCATTCACAGAGAATTGTGCTTTCCCAAGCAACTCAGGACAATGATAACTATGAGCAAACTCCAGCTGCAGTGTTTCTCCATACAGCACATGTAAAACAGATTTCCTTGCTTTGTTATAGAGACTACATAGTGTACAACAATGAAACATTTGTATTTAATTTAAAATCAATGGTAACGTGGTGCATGTCTCACTTCCGAGTTGTTGGCTGGGCTTGCTATGTTGAACCTTGTAAAATCAGCAATAAGCATTCACATGTCTACCATCAGAACCATGACATCTTCTATTACAATCAATCCTTAAATGATGCCGTGCTTTATCAAATTAGTCTAAAGTCAGACCTTGGATTGGCTGCTCTCCTCCAGTGTTGCTGATTTTTAGAGATGGTATCAGTCTTTCACATCCTCAGTGATTCTACAGTTTCCCAAAGACAAAGACAAAGCACCGGTAGATGGGAATGTTGCCATCAGTAAAATAAAACGCCAGATGATTTATCCACTCACATTCCTAGAAGATATTCCACATGTTTTTTATGAACAGAGAGAGCGCTGCCCTGTGAACAGAAGTGAATTAACATTTCTTCTTTTGCTGTGTTGGCTAGCTCCACCTTCCTCACTTGTTTATTTTTGTTCTTTTTGGTCTGCACACTCCCATGTGCAAAGCAGAAATCAGGAGATCTTGCACTCAGTAAGACTGGTAATGAGAGCACGACTATTGGCATGAATAAAACCTGCAGGATACTGACTTGTCCACTGGACAGTTTTCATCCTTCCAATTCCTGCTTTTATCCACTGTAAAATAAAATGATGTAAAGGGTTGATGAAACTTTAATTAATAGGACCATCAATGTGCAAAACAAATAAGTCATCTTCCAGGTGTCCAAACCAGTCTTTCCCTTCTCTGTCTCTCTCTTTTTTTTTTTTAATAAATAATTTATAAATCTTCCTGTAAGAGACTAAATACAAACCCAACCAAACAAAACCAACTGCAAAAGAAAGTTCTAAGATATTATTAAAGCCACTTCTCGTCCTTCCATACAAAGTACACAGCAAAGAGATATTCTCCCCTTTCCAGTTCTGGCCAGGTTTGGCAGTGACAGCTGGGATACCGCGCGGTCTGTCAGCTCCAGGCAAGCTCCTGTGGGCAGCCGCCTGGCTGCCCTGGGAAGACATGTCATCCTACCCTTTGGCTTTTAGCAGTCATGCAAGCTGCTCAGAGGAGTCTAGATGGTCAGGGATAGGCAAGCCAGTTATAATGGTCAAACATTTATTCCACACTGTGAATGTGGGACACACTGGCTGCCCAAATGTAATGTCAAAAGTGTAAAGGTGTAGGGAGTTCAAAGCATCATAAAAAGCAAGGGAACCGTTGTCATAGTCCAGCAAAATCCCAACCCGCCGGAGGTGAGGTGCGGGCTCGATGGGGATTTCCTTGCTATTGTGCCGCACCACCCATGTGTTATTGCAGCGACAAAGCACCCAGGAGGCAGAATTCTTCCCAATCCACTCATGCTTCGGTGCTGACTTGTAAGAAATACCGATGGCATACCTGCAAAAGAAAAAACAACTCAAGGAAACAAATGCTTCCTGCCACGTTTGTCTCTCAGTGAAGTCAAGCCCAGAGGACTCACTAGAATGCTCCAGACTCCTGCTTCTACTGCTTAAGTTCTAATTAAGTGGCATTTCACCACAATGTTTGTGCAAGCTTAATTAATCCTCATCTCTCTTTTGGGTCTGAGAGGTGAGGGAAACCTTATTGTCCCTTGCATTGTTTGTAGTTTGGCTGCTCTGGTAATTTTTTGCAGCACTTACCTCTGGTATTCAAAAGGAAGATTGTTGAGTACTCAGGAACTCAGAGTTTAAATCAGTGGGCCTCAGTTTCCGCTTCCAAACAGATGAATACAGAGGAATTAATTGATTTTAAAATACACTACTATCTGTCAGCTCATTTGATCTCTCCTTGCTTCTTTAATATATGGCCCAGAAGAAGGAATGCAAGAGTAAACATCAAAGGACACATTAAAAAAACCACTTTTGCCATTCCCAAATATGTTTTGCCAGATGTTGGTGTGGTTTTAAAATTCAAACAAGCATTTTTGAGACTGGGTTTTGGGCCAAGTGAAGCAATTGTAGGTGAAGACACTTGCTCTGCAAACCATAATTTATGGCAAGATGTGCAGGGTAAAAGGATTGTGAAAATGGTCGCATTAATGGACACCAAGGGCGAATACCTGATTTCTCATATATAACAGAAATGTAAAAGTTCCTCACGATCTAGAGACACTACAGTATTTGTTGGCCTTTCAACCAACAGAGATTAATGCGCCATAAGTTACTCTGTTTCCATTCCTTAGCGCTGGCACAGGCAAACAGCATTTTTCTTTTTCAAGACAGTGGGCATACCTGAAAACCTTACTGATTTTTCCACTCCATTAACTTCCATCATTGCCTTTGAATCCCAAAGGATGACATCTCTTCCACTGACTAAAGGACCCCTGAAATCCACCCCTGTATGACACAGAGGAGCATTCAGGAGCGGAGGAATGCACTCCTCCATTTCCTGCCCCTTCCTTCATACCCCAGGGCACAGACCTACAGCACTGCTGCTCCCTGCCCCTTCCCCAGAAGCTAATCTGACTTCTATCCCTGTGAAACTGGATCATGGTATTCTGTTCTCATATTCTGATGTTGGGTTTTTTTCTTACTGAAAGACACTAAGATCTTTCATGGTTAGTAAAGAAATGATCCCACTTACAAAGTCTGCTGTGTTGTATAAAGAAGATGAAACTTTCTGACCTCTTCAATTAACTAAAAGCACAAAATGTATTGTATATGGGTTCAATAAACAACCATCCTGAATCATGGAGGAAAAGTCCTGTGACAGCCACTAAATATAAAGATGCTCTATCTGGCAGACTTACTTCCAGAGTTTGAAAGTGCTGGAGATGATTGGGAAAATAGTCTGACAAACAATGTGAAAGTATGTTTGTCCTGCTCTTATACCATTCCCCATGGCTTTGCTACTGGTCTCTCTAAGAGAAACTGTGGCGGGACCTGCACAGACCTTTGGTGTGAACTAGTGATTCTTTTCACATATATTTTTATATACATACCATGTACTCCCGCTTATAACCACTTCCCAGTAATGACGCCCGCTGTCAATGAACACATTGCCAGCTACTCCGTAGCTTCCTTGGCTTGTGAATCGCTCTGGTGTGTGACTCTTTTTGGAGGATGTTTCATCACGTTCCACTGTCAAGTTATCATGAGACACTTTCAATTTTCTATGAGCAGATTTGGGGTCCAGTTTAAATGGCTGACCTGGAGAGGCAGAGACAAAGATGGCAGAAGAATGGTTTGGCTTCGATTTTGAGAAGGAGAGTGGATTAGCAAGCCTCCAAGAAGCCCACAAGATTACATAACCATATTAAACTCCTCCTCTGAAGTGTTCTTGAGACAGACTAACCTATTCTGCTCCCTGCAATAGTTAGTTTGCATTGTCAGTTTACTGTCAATCTCATTGTGCACTGACTTCCCCATGTCAATAATCCCTGGAAAGAGCCCTGCATAATCATCAAGCCTATTATCTCTAGCCCAGAGGTAACCTGAATACTCTAATTCTTGCATGTAATTGAAACCAATATACATGCTAATAAAGGTCTGAAGGCTGATTTTTCACAGCGTATTAGATTTAGAATAAATTGTGTTCTATTAATTCTCTAGGGATAAAGCTCCATAATAACATCTTCATCATTACTACAAAAAGTATGATTTCAAATCCCACAAAATGAGGCTGAAAATAAGAATAAGCACTAGCCTTGTCTGTTCATTCACTCACAGCTTTATTTATAACAAGCACAGTCAACAATTCAGGATCGCTTTGGAAGGATGCCCATGGGGTGCTGGATACTGTGCATTAAAAAGAAGGAAGTGAACTGTAACTTGGTCCAAATAATATGGTGTAAAAACATTACTAAGGCTGTTGCTCTTGGCAAGTATCTTCCACTGTAGTACAAGGTTTGTAGACAATAACAGGAAGGTTTTTGGTAAATCGAACCTTGTGGATATATAAAGCTCACCACAATTCTGACAGGCTTCCTCATTGTGTCAAAAAGCAGAATGATCATTTACCTCTACCAGGAGACAAGCAGGAAACCTTCTTTTTTCTTACAGCTCGGCAGCATTACCTATGCTACCTATGGCCTATGTATCTAACTGGGTAGTAGCCTTTGTGTTGCTGAAGCAGTATCCGAAGGATGTCTTTCTCCGTACTGAAGTGTATCTGGTCAAATCATTTCTCACAGTCTCCTGAGAGATTGCTTTTGTGCCACAGTGGGTCACAAAGAGAAAAAGTGTAAAAGACTGCCATTTCCAAATGGGTCCTCTGGTTATGCATTTGCTTGTAGATTACCATGTTTAACAATAAGCAGATTCTTGGTAGCAGATGTAGGGCTTGCATGAGTAGCTGTCACACAGAAAGGCAAGCCAGGTTAAGAGCAGAAAGGGGAAAATGAGAAATGTGTACATGCCATTCCCTGCAGCCTCCTCCTTGCAACATTCAGTACTGACACTTTTTGAGCACCCTCCCCTACAATAAGCAGGTTTCAGACGGTGCACAAATCCCAGTGTTCCCCTTCCAGCGCTCAAAGCTGCCTGTGATGACTACAAGACTGAGGGATTGGCTGGGACACAAGAAAAAAGAGGCTGAAAACCAGTCTTAAAATTCCTATACTACATCTGCTAATAATTTGTGTAACCATTGTTTTTTTGAAGTGGGATCTCTGACTGCTCTACCACCTTGTTGAGCTCCATGAAAAACTGAGGGGGATTGAACTAAGAAGTTTTCCCATGTCCTACAAAGAGATCATTTTGGAGGATAAAATTATACCAGCAATTATCTTATGAACACTATACAAAAATAAAATATTTTATTGTAAACATAAGAAAAGTTTTTGCTTTGTAGAGGAAAAAGAACAGAGAGGACATTAAAACAAAACCACGAAAGAGTATTTTCAATCATTTCACATGTGATGGCTCTGTTCCTAAATGGTATTTCCAGTGACCAAACTACAGATGCATCTCTCCCAAAAAAAAAAGTAATTTCTGCACTACTGAAGACTCTGGCAATCTTGAATCAAGTTATATAAGTGGCTTTCATTGTGGGAAACTCTTTAAACAAGTTAAACTGTTCTGTACTCTTGTATCTTCTAACGATCAAACCTATAAAGGAAGGCAAGAAAAGAGAAGAATGCATGCGTGCTGGATCTCACGTTACTCACTGTTTGTCTTGAGCTTGCCAGGCTCGCTGCTCCTGCTGCCCGCCTGATTAATGGCCTTAACAATGAAGATGTACTTAGTGCCACTTTGTAACCCATGTACTGTGTAGTGGTTTTGTTTGATATTGGGAACAATCATCCAGCTGTCGGCTGAGTTGCATAAACCTGCAATTTCAAACAGAGCACATTAGTCATAACACGCTAAAACGCTTTGTAACAGAGTAACATTTAGAGTACTCCCGAACACCCAACAAATGACGTGAATTTTGCTTCTTTACCTTTTCAAGTGTTTTTACTTTCACTCAGTTGCTACTTAATTCCACTAACTCATTTCATCAGCCTTCAGCCAAGGTACCTTTTAAGTTCTTGCTATGTGAAGTCAACCATAAAAAATGGACATTTAAGAAATGACTCAGTGGAGGCATGAGAAGTCTGAGATTTTTCATATCCTAGCATAAGGTATTCTTTATTGCTTAAGAACTAGAGGATTATGGAGAACCCATCAATCTACTGTTTGGATTAATGAATTCAGTTTAAGCCTCAAAAAACTAAGTAAACAGTAAAGCTAGGAGGGCTGGGGAGGCATCTTTGCTGACAGTCCCCAGGTATGCATTCTTCAGGACCTGAAGCAAATCATGGGAAGCCAAACAGGATAGAGTGTGGGCTCCACAGTGAGCTTTGGCTTTTACACTCCAGACTTTGCCAGGATGTAACATAAGCCAGCAAATTTAATGGATGCAACTTTTTAATTTATGTCCTCATGGTCAGATATCAGCTGGGGAAAAGCTGGGTAATTTGCCAGTTACAGTTACAAACTTTTTTGGGTACATTTGGGTACATTTGATGCCTACCACAGAAGTATAGTATATAGGAAGCAAGTAAAATAAGAAAGAATCAGTATCGTCTGCAAAAGGGGAAAATAATCCATTAAGATGAACTTATCCACATAAATTTTTCCTCTTGTGATATAACTACTATGGCAGTCAATCACCCATATTACTTACTGTACATTTTGAGCATCTCCTGGTCTAATGGATCCCCAGTCTGATAGGTCTCTTATTATAAATGTTTACATAAATAATACATTTAACATTCATGAAGTGTGTATATATTCACAACCTTTTATATAGGTACACAGAAAAAGATATACGCAGATGGAAGTGTATGCATGCGCTTGCACATGTAAGGCTGGAAAACTTAAAAAAAAAAAGCTTGACTGGATTAGGAAACCTGACAGACTTCTTGGTCTCTGCCTTTACTAGGCATAGAACATGTTACGAAAGCTACTGTGTTATTGAAAGATACCTTTCAGCTTTTAACTCATATTTTACCAGCAAACCAGTAAGTACTAGTCAAGATAATCTTTTAGAAGTCAGTAGTAATTTCAGCTCTGAGTATTAAGCAATACAAAACCTTTATGTAAATTAAAAATTAAAAGGCTACTGGACACACACTTGAAAGAAAAAGACCCATGATACAGATTTACACACGCATAGACAATTCATAACCATACTGGGAGACTCCTTCCTAATTTGGGATGTACTTTTCATCACAAAGGATCATTAGAAACAGAACTCATACCCCAAATTTCAGTCTACAAAATATGTAGCTTTTGTCTCAAAGTTCTCTTATATTACATAGCATCCTTGAGAGCCAACCAGATATTCATCCTGCTGTGCGAATGGGTAACTGAGGCACAGATTCAGGTGGGACTCATATTACCACATCGTTGAATGAAGAGCTGCAATGCCTAGCATATTTTCCTGGACTCTGAGGAGAGGCAGAAATCAGAGATCAGCTTCTATCACTTCTCCAGGTGTGAATATCCTACAACAAGTGCCTCTCTTTTCTTGTCCACAGAGAAAGCCTAGGTGAATAGCGTAGGTGAGATCTCTAACTTCAGGTATCTGAAATGAGCCAAGATGAACCCCCCTACCACCCTGATTTGAAGTCTGGAAGTCTAAGCCTGTGGCTTAGAATGTGGGCTGTGGCCTTTGGACCATGATTTACCACAATGAGAATACTTCTTTGTTACCGTTTCCTGGTGTAAAGTGGGAAAAAAGAATTCCCGTATGTTCCTTATGCTCCAACCAATGAGCATCTTGATCACATGTAGCCTCCCTAAATATCAGCCACAAGGGATTCAAACTGTTTGCCATATGTGGACAGAAGCAGTAAAGAAAGGCAACCTTGCAGCACTGTTTTCCTCATGACTATTGAAAAACTAAATCATATAGAGCAACCATTTGTCTACCTCCTGAAAAAAAAGAACCCAGTGTTATACCACATGAAAACCCCACTTGTGCCTAGTACCTATAGTAAACTTCTCATAGCAACATCAGTCCACATTTTGTTTCACTGAACCATACGTACTGAATGATTTTTATTTTTTTTAGGGTAGGTGTGAATGGTTTTTCTAAGAGGAAGAAAGGAAATAAAAGCAGCAGTTTCCTGGCATAAAATATTTCACTGACTCCTCAGAGGGATCCTCATCTTTTCCTAACAAATATTTGCCACAGGTATTAGAGCAAAGGCACAATTGTTCTGCAGCTGAACTACCACATTGATTTTGCATTGAGACCATCACTTACCAGGCTCAAAAGCGGTACTGCAAAATAAGGGGTATGCTAAAATAAAATAAAATGAAACATCAGACTGAAAGGGAGTCCAGGACGACCAAGAGACCCCTAACTCAGATGCCTCTGGTGGGGCATCAAATAACATACAACAATAAGTGGGATGAATCCAGCCAGGAGTCCTGGCAGTGCCTTTTCCTTCCACAACCTCACTTCAAAAGCAAAGGTCTATGACATACATAGGCCATATATAAACAAACCCTTACGCAGACACAGAATTGCACAGATTTTTGCTAAGTTATCTCAAAACTAGATTTGTATCAGTCACTACAGCTCTCTGAACGGCACATTTTTCAGGCTTGCATTACACTTTTGACATTACCCTCCAGAGGCTGATAGCTCCTTAACAAAGTATAAAACTTGGATCTAATATCTGAAGGACTGTAAAGGTACAGATGCATTGCTATGAGTCTCCTCTCCAGTCTATCTTCTCCTTCTGCATATGTGGATTTATACATACCCAATAGTCACTAATCTGTAAATACTCACAAAGGGTAAGTTATTATATTATTAAATAATCTAGTTAATGCCTAAGAAGAAGGCATTGCACAGAAGGCAGAGACACAATAATTTTAGGTATTGCTATGTCTTGGCTTCTGCTGCTGGGGTTAATGGCAAAGCTCTCACAGGCAGGTATTCATTCCACCTGACCTTGAACAAAGGGCAGAGTTCCTGAGTTAGGACCTTACCTACCCTAAACTCTCTGCACAGTCAATAGGGAGAGTTGGGAACCCTCCTTTTGATGTGACTCATGTTCTTGGGGAAGGATTGATCCTCTTGGATGACACAAGACACCTTGGCTTTCTTTCCTTTGTTCTTACAGGCTTAGGCATCCCAGAATACCAGTGTACAATAAATGTTGGATATGCAGTGATTGACTTAGTCACTTTGCTTGACAAACCTTGCTGTCCCAACAAGCTCAGGTCTTGCCTATGCACTGAGAGGCTCAGTGATGTGTCCATGTGCTTCCTGACTGTGAGCTATTTGATAACAGGCTTTAAACTGAAATTTAATTCTAGAAGTCTTGGGAATTAAGTTTTGATTGTATCAAACCTGTCCTGGGTTCAGCTGAAACAGAGTTAACTTTCTTCATAGTAACTAGCAAGAGGTTAGCCAAGTCCAAAATCCTTCAAAACACAGAAGAGTAACCAATGGCAGGCAGGTTAAGCTTTTAGGTATGAAAGAATGGCTTGTCACTGAATCAAAAGAATTTGTCTCCAGTCAGGACAGCCTTTCTTCTCTGAATACAAAAGAAGATGATTAAGAAAGCTCAGGGAAATTGAGCAAGCAGCCTGGTAACATGGGCATCCAGGGGTAGCATCTGCCCCCTCAGCTCCCTGCTGGTGGCAGCAGGTGAAGTGGAAAAGCACACATCTTCTCCTCACTGGGGCACCAGTAGGAGCTAAGGGCCTTCTATTGTACCCACTCCTAATCCAGGCTACATTCAAGTTTCTTGTTTTGAAAACCCAGGGTTTTTTACAGGATTATGCAGGTGGTAAAACAATGTATTTTAAAACTGTAGCCTACAAAAATGTAGAGAATTTAAATTACATCCTGGAATGGTGCAGTCAGCACAGTGATGTCCGTACAGGATGTGTGAGTTTTCAAAAGAAGTTTCTCAGAGTCTGGAGGTAATAATTTGTAAAGCTATTTCCCTGGTGTTGGCTGTTGATGCACTTTAAAAAACAGATGGGAAAAATGCCAGGGTGTAAATCCTCCTAAAATTTACACTGGTAGATTTTAATAAAATATATCTTCTTGAAAACTGGAAGAGGAGCACAAAAGTCATGGCAAAGTTATTTAATCTCTTGAGTATTTTAATTATTTTAAAATGCTTTTTAAAAATAAATTATTACCAATGTAAATTGATAGAACAAATACAGTAGGTGAAGGTAAAAGATAGCTCTCAACCCCCACTCTGCATTCCCATGTGAAAGAAAACAATATATGCAGGATTTCTGCAAAACACATCACTTTTTTTTTTTTTTTTTTTTTAAAAAAAAGAAATACACTCTTTTTTTCACTCTTCAAGAGGCAGAAGTTTTCCTGGTTTTATCCCAAACTTGCTTTTGTGCCATTAAAACATACTGACTAAAATCCTCAGTAGCAATCTGAAGATTGTAAGGAACCTGTTTTTAATAAATTAAAACTTCCAGTAACAGACAAAAGCCAGAACATTCAAAAATGAATTGTTGAATCACAAACACACTTTTTCATGGAAGCTTGGGCTCCTAGTTGTCTTAGATAATTCAACAAAATTTTATCCTATCTTATAGGAAGAGCAACCATTTAACACTGGGGAGGTTCTGTATCCTTAATACAGTGAATTTTGATACTTACTTGATGAAACTAACTAACCTAAATTCCATTTACCAGGTAAGAAATAATTATTTACTGCTTTTTGTCTTGAAGAGAGAGGTGTGTTTTTCATGAAGACTTATTGTACTGCAGCCAGTAAAAAGCGAGGTGTTTAAATTTCAACCTTCCTGAAGAACACTAAAGAAATTCCATGATGTTAAAAAATGCATA